TAATACTCAACATACTATATATACAAATACTACTATAATCATATATAAACTACATATCAAATATCATAATATACAATATATATATATATAATAATATATATATATATAAATACTTTATATATATATATATTATACATATATATATATAAATATATATATATTATATATATATATATATATTATATATATATATAAATATATATATTATATATATATATATATATATATATATATATAATATAATATATATAATATATATATAAAGTATATACATGTAAGTATACATATGCATGTATGCATGTGTTGAATATATATATAAATATATGTAAATATATACTTATGCATATACATACATACACATGTCCTATTCTACTGTAACCTTTCCAAAAGAAAGACCATCACAAGAAAGGAAGGGGGGGGGGGGGGCTAAGTAAGAAGAGCCATGGAAGACAGACGTACAATGTCTTCTGGATCTCTGCCATTGCCTCCTTATCCGCCTGCACTTGCATCAGCTGTTTTTGAAGGTCTTCTCGGTGGCTGTTGAAGGAGGTCATCAAGTGTTCCACCTCTGCTTTCAAGGCTGCCACCTATGCGCATAAGGGCAAATGATGGAACCAAGAGATAAAGAGGGAGACAAAGAAAAAGAGGCACAGATACAGAGTGAAAGAAGTACAGCTTTTCCTTCCTTTCTTTAATCTTTGCAAGAGAAGTGCAAGGATTATCAGGTTCAGATAAGAAAAGATTATGACCATATCTGAAAAGATCTTTCATAGCTGATGAATTCATGTTTTCTCTTCTCATCACAAGTTAGAACATGATAAGTAAGCAGAGACAAATCCAAATTAAACAGAAAAATAATAAAAAGAAGAAACTAAAAACGCAAGTGTGATTCTGTACCTTAAAAGTAAAGAAAATGACTGAAAAACACCTATATAGAAAGTAACTTAAGACTGACAACATTCTCTATGGAACAATAAACAAACAAAAATATAAATAAAAAACAATAATACAAAACAGCATTTGTGTTTATTCAAGAAACAAACTACAGCTAATCCTAATAAAAACTAACAGGCTATATACACAAAATTAACCTACAATGCAATATTCCCTAACATTTTTTTATCACCTTAACAACTCTGTATGCATAAATTTCATCACCAGGTCACTAACCAAAATGACCTCCCCAAGCAGTTGCGATATCTGAGAATTTTGGCAAAAGCTAAATGATGTCAGGTGACCGATATGTGTGATTTGTCTGATGAAATAATACAACCATTCAGAATGAGCAAATTTTAAAATATAGTTTGGGAAAGCCTTTGTGCATTAGCACATTTCCCACCTGAGATATTGTCTATCTTTAGTCATTCTAACATGCTCTTTCTTCTTTCTCTCTTTCTTTCTCTCTTTCTCTCTTTCTCTCCCTCCCTCCCCCTCCCTCTCTCTCTCCTCCTCTCCTCTCCTCTCTCTCCCTCTCCTCTCATGCACACACACACACATACTCATACACACTCACACATCCACACACACACACACATCCACACACACACACACACACATCCACACATCCACACATCCACACACACACAAACACAAATACACAAACACACACACACACACAAACAAACACACACACACGCACAAACACACACACGCACGCACGCAGACACATTCATGCACACACACACTCACACTTACACTTATACTTGCACTTACACTCGCACACAAACACACTCACATTCACACTTACATTCACGCTCACACTCATATGCACACTTACACTCATGCTCACACTCACACTCTCACTTACACTCACACTCAAATGCTCAAACACACTCAAACACTCTTACACACTCAAACACCCTTACACACTCAAACACACACACTCACTCTAACTCTCAATCTCACAATCATACTCACTTACACTCCCTCACACTCATACACTAACAATATTTGGCTTGAGGAGTGGGTTACATGAAGATGCTATCATGGGAAAATTTGGCTGTGGGCCGGGGTAATGTGACCTTGTTGTGAGCATTTCAGCTGAAGGCCTGGGTGAAGGGGAATGTCTCAGATGTACACAAAGCTTTTGCATTATTTCCACTGATAAATGAGTGTAGAATGTATGATCCATGAACCATGACTGGAAAAGCTCTGGCTCCAGTTAGGACACTACTTCCATGCTCAGGATCCTATTCCTAGATGCTATGACCAGTGACGCAGGTAATACTATAGAAAAAAAATTAAAATTAAACATAAAAGAAAATGTTACTTATGTTATTATCATCATTCTTGCACTAAGAGTCTGTGCAAGGAAAACAGTCTATTACCAGCTGGATAAAACAGATCAAATGACAAATATGGATTTTGGAAAAAGGCCAAAATAAATAAAAACGAGAAAATAACACTGCAAAGGGGAGGCATGGAGTCTTGTCACCGCACGCATGAGCTCGTGTGCGTTCAATCTACAAGCTGCACACCTATGAGAGTAGCCACCCAAGTCAACCTAATCCCAGAATTTTGAGCCATATGGTAGCAGTGAAGCATCCAGACCCAATGGCTTACATGAAGCCTTTTCAACTTGTAATCATGCTAATAAATTACAGGCTTTCTTTCATAAATAGCCTATGACAATAACAGCGTACCTAGGGAGTACATTTGATTCTATTAAGATTATTATTACAATCATCTCTGAGATATTAGACCATTTCCTATATCTATCACCCCAATCAGCATTTACCTTAGAGATGAACAACATTATTCTTAAACAGTGACCTATTATGAGGAATCTCAACCACTATATAAAAAACAGCAATGCCTCCTATGATGCAAGCAGCCATAAAAAATGTTCAAATAATCAACACAGATGGCAGTAGTGATGTTCATTGTCATGTGGACACATGAAAGTATGCATAATAACTTTGGCCTTACTACCATATAGTAAAACATGATCATAACTATGGATTAAAGTTCACTGGAAAGGAAGCTTCAATGTAATAACAAAAACAATTATAATGAAGAAATGTCAAAAATAAACTACACTACAGTATTTATAAGCATGTTGAGAGCATATACTAAGGCTGTCCTACAAAAGAAAAATATAATTAAAGAGGAATGGAGGAAAAATTTACATCAAAAGAGAGACATTCAATGTAAAAGAAATCTTGAAGAGTCTGTAAATTTTTTTTCTCAGGAGAAGAGGAAATAGCAACTTTAACCAAACCAGTTTCTGACCACTTCTTTTCCTTTACAAAACCTAGATAGATCAGTAACAGGAAAGCTAATCTTAAATTAATCATATCACACTTGGAAGTTTAAAAAAAGACTTACTCAGTTTTATCAATGACAGCCTGACAGAATCTATTTATTCACATTTCATGCTATAACTTATGAGCTTTAATCATATTTACCTTAGCCAATTGACACAAAATAAATCATCAAATCAGATCTGTTTTAAATATAAAGGTATTACTTCTTTACAAATAAGAGATCTTTAATTCAGCATAAGAAAATTAAGATATACAGAGTGTATATCAAAAAATCCCAAGAAGCAGTGAATGTCAAGTCATACAAGAGCAGCAAATGAGTATGCAAATCTACAAGAATGTAATAAACTACATGCATGAATGTAATCATACAATTATCTACGTCAGCATATAATGTGCACCACTCATGTAAAAAAAAAAAAAAAAAAAAAAAAATAATGTAAAAAATTTTTACAAACAAAAAATTATCATAAATGGCAAAACTTATGTCATAATGCAATAGATATACCTGGCACAAGTGCACATACCTTTTGATCCCTCTCGGTCACAGCCAAGAGGTTCGCTTCCTGCTCTGTTCGTAGCTTGCAGTTATCATTCTCCAGACTTGATATTTGTTCCTCTAATTCCGTCTTCCTCCTAACCATCTTGGGGAAAATGTTGATTTTATTACTTGATCTGTCTATACATTCAGTTAATTTGTCCTCAACATTTTGGTCTGTCATTTTATATCTCATCCATCTCTTACATCAGCTTGATTTGAAATTTTCTCATCACAATTTAAAGGTAAAAAAAAAAACATAATAATAATGATAATAAACAGACTTTCAAAGTGTCTCAAATTGCCTGGCAAGGCTTACATTAAGAGACCTACCTCGTTTTTCTCCTTGACTAGATTATCCAACTCTGTTCTCATGTCAGCAAGTGCCTTCTCCATGCTTCCCTGTTTGTCAGCTGATTCACAGGTCATGGCCTTCACTTGATTCTCCAAACTCTTCTGTGTCTCCTGAAGAGATATAAAGTTGGAATAATAGTAAATAGCAAAAATGAAGTAATAATTTTTTTTATACTTTAGAAATGTTTATGGTGTGCAGCTGTTTGTAATCATGTAAAAATAATTAGTGAGGTTTTGTTTGTATTCACATCTGTGTATGTGTAGGAGTGCAAATATGCACATTCATTATAAGCATATGCTTGAGTCCACATGAGTACATATTTGAGTATGCAACTGTGTGAATAAGAAAAGCTGGAAAAGAGCAGTAAAGACACCACAAGACAAAAAAAAAGTTTAGCAATACACACCTCTAATGTTGTAACTTCAGCCTCTTTCAGCATCAACTGTTCTTGGGACTCATAGATCTCCAAATCCTTCTGCTTCATCAACTCCTCCATTTCTGTCTTATGTTGTTTCTTTAGGGCCTCCACTTGGCTCTTGCTTTCATCAGCTTCTTTCTCCATCTCACTCAGCTTCTCCTTCAGCATCTGCAACTCAGCCTCAGATTTCTCTTTAGCTTCTTTGGCCTGCTGGAGTACTGCCTGGTTCTCCTTCTCCCTCGTCTCCACCTCCCGAGAGAGGGCCGCTTCCTTTTCACGCAGTTGTTCCTGAATGGTTTCCAATTGCTTTTCCTTCTCCCGCAGTTGGTTGTTAAGGGTGGTCAGCTGTTGTGAGGAATCTGACGAGGAGGCCAGATGTGATGCGACTTGTTCCTCCAGCTGCTTCTTCTGCTCTTCCAGGGCACTCACATGGGAACTTGCAGCCGTGATCTGCCTGCCAAACTCACTGATCTCCATTGTCTTTTCAGCTAATGTGGCTTCCTGTGAGTAATGATAATGTCATGTACAAATCAAGTGCCATGCACATATTGGATATACGTTCTTACAAAGCCAGCTTTCATAAAAAGCTATCATTACATCCACATAGCTTTTTTTTCACTTAAATAAAAATCAACCAACAATCTGTAGCAAGATATATAAATATATCTTAGAAGTCTCAGAATATGATATCACTAAAAGATAAAAAACAAAACCTAACTTACCAATGTTTTGACCTGTTCTTCATAATTAAGAAGTTGCTGTGAGTGCTGTTCCTTTAACTCTGACAACTGTTTCTCCACTGATTCAGTCTGGGAGAGCTTGCCTTCCTGCTCACTTCTAAGGGACACTTCTGCTTTCTCAAGCCTCCCCTGGATGGAATAAGAATGTGAGAGGAGCCAGAGATGACTGGCATACTGAATATTCATTTCAATCAAAGAGTAATACAGAGCCTTAGAAAACAGAACATACACAACAATGAACTCCAATCAAAATCCAGTTCAATTCTAAAACAATAAGCAATACTGAACCAGAATCTACAGTGCTGAACAGTAACACATGGACAGTACTAACCTTGAAAATCAATAGTTCTTTTTCCGTATCCTGCAGCTTAGCTGTGACATTCTTGAGCTGGACTGACATATCTGAAGCTGAACCGCTAGCCTGCTTGAGTTCTTCCTCAGCTTTGGTCTTCTCCATTTCAACATTTTTGATCTGCATGTGACATGACCATCATTATTGGGAAAGAAAGAAAGAAGGAAAAAATCTTAACCTTACAGCTCACACATATGCTTCCTAGGAGACACTTTCCATTGTATCAATGTAACCTCTTCATTTTTTCCAAATATAAAACTGCATCAGATTCCTAGTCCTCCAAAAATAGGAGCTGCAAATAATAGTTATAGCACAGGCCCAATGAATGAACATTACTTACTTTGTTATTCACTTCCTGAAGTTGACTAGTGGCAGCCGCAAGTTCTTCCTTCACCTTGTCAAGTTCAAGTAAAAGACCTGAAGACTCACTTGAGCCTGAACTGAGCTGTGTTTTGAGTCCTGGAAGGTTAGAAAAAAGGAATTGTTATTATATCCTCATTCTTCTTTTTTTTCTACATTATATACCTAAGATGGCACAAAAAATTTTAGCAGCAAGAATGAAACCAATGTAAAGAGTGAAATTATATATATGTGAAGCTAATCTAAAGAATGGAATTACCCTCTATCTCCTTCCGAAGAACGTCTTTTTCTTGTCTCTCCTTAACGATGTCCTGTAGGACCTCCTCCACCTGCTGGGACACATCTTCAAAGTCCTTCCCTTTCCTCTCAACCTCAAGCTGTAGCTCCCTAATCTTCGCATCCTTCTCGCCAATTTCTGTTGACTTCTCCCTTGATTTTGCACCGTCTTCCTCCTGCTTTGATTCCAGGAGTTGGATCTTCTGCTCACGTTCACTGATGTCATTTTTCAAGGCCTCATTGCTTGTCTTGAGGGACTTTATCATCTCAATATTTTCCAACAGGACTTTATCTTGTTCTTCCTTTTCCCTTTCCATGTCCATCACCTGAAATGAGGCAGGTTGAAAATGAAGTACTATATCAACATGGTTACATAATAATGTATAAACATAATGCTACTTTAGTGAGTACAGGTACAAATGTAGTTTTTTCAGCCCCATCTCAGCTGGGCTGGACAGAATAAGTTTGTTACACATACCTTAGCTTGAAGTTCTTCCACACTAGCTCTCAGATTAATCTCCAATTCCTCCATCTCAAATGCCCTGTTAGCTTCTATGGTTCCCCGTTCTTTGAGTTTTTTTCTTAGTTCTTCTACCTCCTTCTTCATTTCTTTGATGTACTCTCCGTCTGTTGTGCTCTGACTCTGCAATTGGTAAGAGAATAAGCACCTTGTCCCTAATGATATTATTCACTCTAAAGAAAAAACAATAACATCTTTACAATGTTAATTCAAAACCTTAAGAGAATTTCACATCTCGTTAAATAAAAAAATATAAAAAAAAAGATAAAGAAAAGGGCAAGGACTCATCTTTTACCTTATCTATGAAATATAAAATACTACAAAGCTATATACCTCACTTTGGATACAGAGAGGAAACTCCCCTTCATAGTAGCTTAAAGTAATTTAGTTAACCAGTTAACACTTTCCTCACTGCACTATATGGAATCTAAATGTTTAAAAACATACCATAAAAACCATGATCTAAAACAGCATCTAACAAAATTATAATAAATGACCTTGCATACTCAGTATTTGATTAATTTATAAACTTTTTTTTTTTATTTACATCTTCTTTCTAATAAATATTCTAATATTCAGTGAATATCATATAAAAAGTACATTATCCACAAACATAACATGTATGTCTATCAGACATCATACAATTAATTTTCATAAAACCATAATGTCCATAACACACAAGCTGCTTTGACATTCATTTCACTTATTTTTTATAAAATCACAATCAATGGATCATTAATAACAACATCACTGCCAAAATATCAGGCTCATCCAGCATGTATTTACAAAAATCGCAAATGTTAAAATCAGACTTGAATTATAACATTAAACATTCACCTGTGGCAAAATTGGCATTATCAAAATGTTATGCAAGTAAAATACAAAATATCAAGCACTCTAAAACACTATATCATAACATTTATACATTATGATCATCAAAATTAAATCTAGTAACACTGTTTCAGATAATGAGTGATCAAAACTGGAAGACAATTTACAAATCGAAAAAATAAAAAACATTCACCATACGACTAAAAAAGAATTATCTCAGCCAAATTCAGATTGTTTAGTCTTAGCATATATGAAGATAGCAGAGAAAAAAATAAATAAATAAATATTCCTAGCATTACTGCCAAATCAAATGGTTATAACATTAATGACATCAATAATCAATACTGTGTCTCTCAAAGCTCAAATTCACATAGGACTATTCACATTCTAGGCAATCATATGGAACAGGCAACTTAAAAGATACTGACTAATTGGGAAATTCAAAGCACGACGTATAACAGCGTGGAAAACACAAATCGTAAATTTGCTACCCGATGAGGTCAACCTAATTCATTCACAATAAATAAATGAATGATTCTCAACAGGCAAGAATCAAGAGCAAGAGAATAAAATCAGGAGAGAGAAAGAGCTTTCTATCTACCAAATCATCGGCAGCAGAAACTAACAACGACCAACTTACTGCTTTCAGGCGTTCCAATTTCTGTAAGGAAAACCAGGGGTGCAAATGCAATATATCAGTTATCAAAACAAAATTCAAAGAAGATTGAACAAGTGCGTAAAGAAAAAATATATATATATATATTGTTTCAGCATACTAAACTGAAGGATTTCTGATATCCTGCAGAATAAAGTAAACTGAAGTAATGGCAATTAACTGCCTTTCCACTTTTCTACTTATGCAGTCTAACACATTTCCTCCACACAAGACGTGAGTGTGTGTTAAAAGGAATCTCGTATGGCTAAAGCCAATGGCAAAAGAAAATCTTATATTTACAGCACATTTAAAACACTATTTCAACATCTAAAACATGGCAATAAGGGACTCTCAAGATATTCAAAAATAAAAGCCAAATTCTTCAGTTATCTCTATTTCAACTAAAAAAAAAGAAAAAAAGAAAAAGACTACCAAAAAATAAAATGCATATTTTTCTGAGCCTTTTGTGTGTTTTATGTTAAACTTTCACCTTAAAAACCCATGCACTTTTATGACATGCTTATAGTGAAATAAAGAAATAAAACTAAAAACAATATAAAATGAAGACCATTTCTCTTTCTTCTACAAAGGAAAAAAATATTGAATTGAATAACAGAAGAAAAGCAAACAAATGGGATGTCATGCAAGTAAAGAAATAGAAAGAAAGAAAAAAATATACATGGACAAACATACAATCAATCAGACAAACACAGACACACACACACTGCACAACACACACACACACACACACACACACACACACATACACACACACACACACACACACACACACACACAACACACACACACACACACATACATGCACGCACACACCACACACGCAACACACGCACACATGCATGCACGCACACATGCACACACATGCACATCCACGAACACCCGCTAGGGCTGACCACTTTTCCGTAGCAGCATTTCTGCCATTCTCTATACATAAGATGATAAAGAAAACGGATATAAATAATAAAATTGGACCATACACTTTGTTGAAAATTAAATTAGAGTTACAATGCATACGATTAGAGTCTGGCGATTATAAGATTCCCTGCGGTACTTTCTTATTTATTGTACTGTATAAAACAATATACAGTAAGTACATTACCAAGCCAATAATGTAACATGCAACAACATAAAATGCACCCACATCTCTTTATAGAAAATGTATTAGAGATGTAACTTAAGAAAATAAGACATTGAACCTGTAAACTTGATTTATCTATATGACTATTCATAGTGAGTGTGTTGTAAGGCTGAAGGTGTAAAGTCACTCTATGGGACTGTGGCTCTATCTTTGATTATGCCCAGCTAGAAGACAAGCTGAAGTGACATCAGATGAAATTTCCACTGCAATGACATTTGGCCTGCCACATCAAATCACTTCACACCAGGATGGGTTCAACAATTTTTCATGTTTGATTTCTTTGAACATGGGAAAATATTACAATATTGTTGTAAACATCTGTAGTCATGCAAATTAATAAAAATACAGCCTTCAGACAAAAATTATGTAGTGACATCACCATCTCTTGGTCATCTTTTGTTTCCGTTTCGCAGACAAATTTCTGTTGAATTCCATCCCTGCCATGTGCACACCCACACACCCACACACATGCACACACATGCGCACACACACACACACACACACACACACACACACACACACACACACACACACACACACACACACATATCTCTGTAAAGAAAGGAAAAGAAAAAAAGGAGCTAAAATAAGTAGACTCCCACCAGAATGAAGAGACAAAAAACACAATAAAACTCTATACAATACATTTCCCACCACATCCTCACACAAACCCTCACACAGACAACCCTCACCTCAAGATCGGCCTTGGTGATGGACTCTTCCTCCAGACGGAAGGCCAGATCATCTACCTCTCTCTGCTTGTCCTCCAATTTGGTGAGAATGTCTTCCCGCTCTTTCTCTAGTAGCCGCACCCGTTCACCCAGGTCATGCAGGCGCTCCTCCGACTCCACTTGTAGCTTTGGTAAATAATAAAAGAGAAATGATGTTCCAGAGAGAGAAGAGTGTGGTGTGAAAGTAAGTGGTGGTAAGCAGTTGTGGTAAAGATTTTAGTGGAATTCAATAGCAGGCATTGTGATTTTGTAGATATCTAAAAATAAGAAAAGTAAATGTGCAAGTCATCAATAAAACCTAAAAGGGGTATAATCTGTGGTATTTGACAGTAAGACACTCGCAGAAGACAATAAAGAATAATAAGTAAAAAGCTCACCTGATCAAGTTGCATCCGCATGTCCTGAGCTGCTCTGGTAGCCTCATCTGCCTGGGCAGCCATCCGTGCTACCTCCGCCCTCTCCAGATCACGCTCTCTCATCAGCTGATCAACATGTTGGGTTTTTTCTGCTAGCGCTTC